CCCCCCCCGCCGCTCCAGCCGCCCGCCCCCAGACTACTCCGGGGGTTTAATTTGGGGTGCCTGAGGGGGATCCGGTGTGTGTCCCGGCGGCAGCGCTCCGCGGCGGGCGGCACTGCGCTCCCCAAACCCCAAACCCCGGCAAGTGCCGCTGCCCTCCCTCCGCCTCGCCGGGGAACTTGGTGCGCGGCTCGCCAGAGCGCAGCGCCCGCTCATGCAACGCGCCGCGACAACAGCACACACCGACAGCACAGATAAAACACCTCGGACGACACAAAACACGAGTCACCTTGTTGCAATAGTAGGGGTCCAAGCAGGGGGAAGGTCCCAAACAAGGCGTATCAGGAGCGGCTGCAGGCTGAGGAGGTGGTGAATAAAATCTTACGTCCATTTCACTAAAACATCAAGCAAACTCCTTTCCTTTTCTTTTGGTCGTTAATGTAGGTGCAAAAAAGGGGGGTGTGAGTGTGTGTGTGTGTGTGTGTGTGTGTATGTGGGTGTGTGTGAGAGAGAGAGAGAGAGGGAAGGGGGGGGACACACAAGACTGAGAAGAATAAAAAAAGAGGTGCCTGACTTCAGTAGTCAAACACCTTCCCTGCCTCACATCCGTTTGTGGTTTGTAAAGAGAGAGAGAGGAGAGGAAAAAAAAAAAATCTCTTCCAAAAAAGCACCGGTCTGCAGATGTCTGCAAGAGAACCCACGAACCCTCCTTCTTCTACGGCAGGGCAGGTAACTTCGAGTACTTATTGTTTCCCCCACGCATCGGCACCGGGGCGCTCGCTCCGTGCGTGCCGCTCTTTATGGGAGTCTCGGAGTTGGTTCGCTTCTCCCTCCCTCCCTCTCGCTCGCTCCCTCTGTTCTTTTCCCGTTCTTTCTTTCTTTCTTTCCTTTTCTTTTTTTTTCTCTCTCTCTCTTTTTTTATTAATATTGTTATTATTTATTTGCTTTGGTTTGGTGGAGATGTATTTTGGTCGCCCACCACACCGAGGGCCTTGGGGGGCTGAGGGGGAGGTGGCGACAGCAGCCGGGCCCCCCGCGCACCCCCGAGGGGAGCCCAGGCGCTGCAATGGCCGCCCCGAGCCGCTCGGCTCTCTCGCCTCGGCTCTGCTCGGCTCGGCTCGGCCCGGCCCGGCCGGGCTGGGTTGGGCTGGCGGCGGCAGGGGACGCACCGCGCTCCGCCGCGGAGCCGCCGCTCCGAGTGCGCCTCACACAAAGGGGCCGGCGAGGGAAGAGCCATTTGCGGCCGCCGGGGCCGGGAGCCGCGGAAAGGGGGCGCTCCCGCGCCCGCCATCCCGCCGCCGTCCCCGCCCTCGCGCAGCGCCCTCCGCCCGGCCCCCGGCGCCGCCCGGCCTCCGCCCGTTACTATGGCACCCCCTCCGCGCCGCCGGGCCGGGGCGGGCCGCAGCGGGAGGGGGCAGGGGCGGCAGGGAGGGGGGGCTCGGTGTGCTGCCTGGGGTGGATCGGGCTCAGACTGGCGGTATGGCCGCGGGCAGGTCTCTTGTGGTGCCTCTGTGAAACCCTCGGACCCATTTCCGCGGACCTTTGGCAAAGTTGGGGTCGGGCGGCCCCTCTGCCCTGGCAGCCCTCTGAGGCTGGTGTGGGTCGAGCAGAGCCCGTCGTCTCCAGTCCCGGCAGAGTGGAAGCTGTCGCCCAGAGTTTGTGGTCGCACACATACTCTGTGATCCATGGATGTGTCCCAGAAAACAGGAAACAAGTTGAAAGTAAAGCGCACCCGTGAAATAACTCGTCATCTGGGGTCTGCCCCATTAATCGCGGTGCTCAGGCCTGGCCGCACAGGGTGACACCAGGCGCAGGATGAAGGAGGGACATTTGAGGAGATGGCCTAACTGTGTGGGGAGGAAGGAACGACAGGCGAATGGGGTAGGAAAATTAAGAGGAGCTCAATTAGGAGCAAACAAGGGTGCTGACAAAGAAAAGTTCAGAATCCACTGGGATGCGGGAGAGGGATTGATGAGCATAACAAGGTTTAACAGGCAAAAACAATGAAAGAAAAGGTGACTTCCAAGACACCATGAGCAATCCCACTGTGTTTCCTGCTGAGTCTTCAGTAGTCTTAATCAGGACAGAAAGGATGGAAGAGAAAGAATACAGGAAGGACACTATGCTGAGCTTAGATAATGCCCAACAGAGGAATTGTGTTATGAAAAGAAAGGAATGCCTTTCCTTCTTTAAATAAAAACGAATTACTGAGTGCCACACAAGCAAGCTGAAATGATGATGATTAACAAAAATGGTTACATTTATCAATACTCATGAACATTTCCGTCACAAACCAGTTAGGATCTAAGAAGACTTGTAATGCATGTTGCCTCACAAAACTGTCTTCTCATCACTGAAAAAAAATTCCACTGTAAAGATTTCAAGGCATCTCAGTATTGTGGGGGAGCAAATCACAAATTTCAGGTGAAAAAAATCTCTGTTTGTGTGAGGATATACATATGTATACACAAAGATATATAATCTGAACCTCAGATATTTTGATATTGTAGAGTCCTTCAAGATTGTGTTAAGTCATGACTTTCTTCCATGTCTAACAACCTGCTTTCATTAAAGCTTAATTATCTGGAAAAAAATACATAAGTAATGCAAATGAAACTCTAGAGAAAACAGGTTTGAACCAATATTCCTATTTCAGGATTATTTGATCAAAAACATCTCTGAAGATACTTGGTTGTCAGTTCAACAGAATTTAAGTTTGATGGCAATAAATGTTTTTCTTAAACATGCAATTACAAAAGGATCTCAGTTGCTTTCTTTTTAATAATGTTTGAAACCCTTCTGGCCTTGGAGAAAAGCTTGAAAACATGACCTAGAAAAAGCTCCAGAAAGCAAAGGAAAAGACATTAACATATTAAAAAAAAAAAAAAAAACAAAAAAAAACCCACAAAAAATCCCAAACCCTCATGATTTTTTGGCATCTGACTCATTATTTTACATGTTTGGGATTAGACATTTTGAAAGTTAAAAAATCCTAAAAAAGATTTTCCTTTGCAAGAGATGTACTTGACGCCTGACAGATATATCACTGCTGCAAATGGCTGATATGTGGACCATAATTTGACAAAGTGAATGGGAGACAGATTGCAAGCTCCGTATTGAAAAGCTGCTGTTGAGAAACTTGTTATTCATGGACAGTGGATTAGTTTTCAGCCTGTTGTGGTGAGAGGTGGTAGAGATACAGCAATTCAAGATGAGCTGTTCTAGGCAGCCAGTGCGTGCAGGTGCATACAAGTGCATGCAGGTACAGAAATGCTAATGCAGAGCTGGAGATGTCAATACCAGAATGACTAGAATGTCTGATAATAAAAAGTAGAGAATTGGCTTTTTATTTTTGTGAAATATTACTGACTACTGCCTTAGGAAGGGCTTCGGGTTCCTCGGAGTCTGTAGGAGTTTACAACTGTACCGTTTGCTTTGCACAGCACTTGAAGTTATTTTCAGTACTTAATGATGCAGGTCCTGAGAGTTATAAAATTTTTGCTGCTACTTACAGAGATGATTTAATCATCAAGATGGTAAAACACCTGAGATTTGTGGCAGTTATCTGTACAGTTGGTAAAAATTAAAGAGATATATATGTTAATCTGTTAAAACATTCTTTTGTTTTGTAGGGAACAAGTTCTCTAGGGTTTTTAGAATAATGCATTTGTGGAGATCAGAACTGAAATTGTTAATAATATTGTAGGTTTTGCCTCTATAGACTGAGAAAGCAAGGGTCTTTGCAGGATAATTCAATGGTATATCAAACTTGGCCACTTTAGCTCATGGAAGTGCATTTTCCAGAAAAAGAAAAAAAAATTTGAAACAGATTTAAAAGAATGAATCAATTTTTAGAAGCTCAAAAGGAAGGAACATTTGTTCAGAAGGGCACTGAGTTTTTAAAGCCATTCAAAATTCAAGTGAATGTCTCCAAAATAGTCTTGAAAAAGGTTGCTGTACCAGCATAGGAGAAGAGTGTTATTGCCTTTCTCGTATAAATAGGAACAAATGCCTTGAGGAACATGATCTTTATCTGCCAATACTAAAAAATTTATTCTTTTAAATGCTGTCTGCTGGAGTTAGATTGTGCAGTGTACTCTCCATGCAACAGAGAACTCGTGTGGCATCCTTGCCAAACAGCATTGTGGATGCAAGAGGCTTACACAGCAGACTGGAGACCTAAGAAGGTCATTAGATAGACAAACCATAAATGGATCAGTAACTCCTCTGGCCTGAAAATAGCTGGAGGTAGAGGATATGGAAGTAGGTAGTGGCAGTATTTGCCCTCAGTTCGGGCTGTCATGTCTAGAGCCATCACTGGAGGCAGAGTACTGGGAGGGCGCACCCTCAGTCTGAACCAGTCCAGCCATTGGCACATTCTGATTTGAGAACGCGCAGTCTTTGCAGTGGTCAGGCGAACAGAATTCAATGGAACAAGTAAACATGTCTGATATGACAGGTTATTTTCTTATGTATTCTATTGTCTGACCCAGCTGGTCGGTCTAGTGTGTTGGGGGGCCATCAGCAGACATAACTAATGTTCTCAGCTGAAGAGAAATAAAGTATTTTGGTTTAAAAAACAATAGTCCAACAACTTTTTGTTTAAATCTCACACATATATACACAGTTTTATTTGGAAGCACTAGATATCTGATCATCTATTACAAAGAGCAGACTTCCTGGTCTTCCTAGAAAGAAGGAAATGTGAGACTGTGATGATGGCTTAGTATTTATTATACAAAGGCTAGGCACCACAAGAATCTCTTCATGAAGTTGGCTCTTCTTTAAAGAAAAGTTTTCTGCTGCATATTTTTAAAAAGAGTTGGATTGGAAAATCATTTTGCTTCTTGCTTTGTGTGCTGTACTTTGGTAGCCAGGAGGAAAAGATAAGCTAAAAGGGAACCAATGAGATTCTGCTAAGAAAATCCCTCCTGCTGAAATTTTTGATTTGTGACTAACTCACAGGACTGTTTACCTTTCATAACAAAGGTCAATGCTCATCCATTTCTAGATAGTAGTTAATTAAATAATAATAGGACAAAGGGTATGCCTCTTTTGTGTGGATGTCCTGTTTCATGTTCTTAAACTGGATATGACATTTGGATCTGGGAAGATGCAAACGATAATATATTAAGATTGCAGAATATTTTAAACAATGTAATTAATCTGGTTGTTTCATCAGAATGAACTCAAATCCTTTAAGAAACTGATTAATTTTAAGTGTTGACATTCTGTGTGTGCATTTATAAGTGAGCATAAATCAATGTGAAAAAAGAGATCTTCAATACGGTATAAAAACTTAATAGGTGTAATGTATGTTTCAGAGTATTTAAACAGTTTGTAAGGCTACCTGATAGTGTGTCAAACAAAGTGTTATCAAATGTGTAATGA